CTGCCACTAACTTGTAAGTAATGTAAGTAAAAGAAAGATTGAATACATTTCTATCTCTGCCAGTGATGGAAATAATTGTGGTGGGCAAAGGTCTGTGAAAATTCCCAGCTGAGTGTGAAAATGCCTCAGTAAGAGATACATTGAGGTGATACCTTGAGGCCAAGACTGGGTCGTTTAAAATACCATTTTAAATCCAGATTTTAATCTCTTTGGACAAGCTGACACGACTGAGTCACAGAAAGAGGTGATGTGAGTAAATCCACTTAACCACAATTTGTCTGTCCTTCCTTTGCAGATCAGCAACCGTGTCCTGTATGTATTTTTTACACACGTTCAGGAGTTCTTTGGGAACGTGACCCTAAGGCAGGTGACAAAACCCCTTCGCTGGTCAAACATGGCAACGATGCCAGCACTTCCAGAAACACAAGAAAGCATCAAAGAAGAAATCAGGCGACAGGTTGGCAATTACTTCGGTGTTTTTCTGTTTATCTTTGCCCTGACTGTTCTGCATTCAGTAGTAAGTACCCACAAGCTTGTAACAGTCTCCTTAATTCTGTCACAATTGTCCTGTCCGTGGGGACCACTGGAAAGAGCTGGCTGATGTTCTTGCCCAGTTCATGCATGGAAAGGTGTTACGGTCTCATGAAGATTATAGCAATGTCTTTTGTGGACTGCTTTGCTGTGTAGTTCAGTACTTCTATCGTGGGAGGAAAGTTGGGTGGGAGAACACGTTAAGGAGTGCGGTTTCTTTAGTTTTGCTCTTCAGCTACTTCTGGAGCATGTGCTCAGTGTATGGTAACACTTGTTCTTGGTGGACATGGCCAGCGTTGAAAAACAGAACTGAAACCTTTGCATGGAGCCAGAAAGACTTTTCTTTTCCTTCTGCCCTGCTATGATTTATTAAAGACACTCATTTCTTTGGCAATGTTTCTAGGAATTCCTACTGAACTGTTTACACAGAGACTTGCAGGCAGGGATAAAAGACTTATCCAAAGAAGAGAGACTCTGGGAGGTGCAAAGAATTTTAACAGCTCTTAAGAGGAAACTAAGAGAAGCTAAGAGACAGGTGGGTGACTTTTCTGTTTATTGGCCAAACATCTAAACCACGGATCCCTAATTTGTGAGAATGCAGTTCGAGCAAACCACATTTCCAGCTTTTTACTGCAGATTTTTTCATCTTAACTTCACATGGCTGAGGAGCAATTGCATTTTCTGGTTGGCTGGCTCTCCCTAGGGACAGAAAGATCTTCACACTCCTTCACAGCTGTTTACAAAAAATGATGATGTATGATTAAAACCGTAGTTTGACAGAGCATGTGTTCATCACATGCTTCAAACAGCGTGTCCTGGAGTACCAAGAGGAATTACTGGAAGGCTCAAGGTTAGCAAACTTTGGAAGCATTTCCTTTAAACTGTCTTATGTCACAGAGAAGGGACAGACCTTGCCTAAAACTTCCGAGACAACTAAGATGGCGATTCCAGACTTGGAAAATAATACATTCCAAAACATTATTATTCTTTTTTACAGTAAACAGAGTGGCTGGGGAAGCTGCCCCTTTTAACAGTTGTTCTCTTTCTCTGGCAGGAGTGTGAAACAAAGATTGCACAAGAAATTGCTAGCCTTTCAAAGGAGGATGTCTCCAAAGAAGAAATGAATGAGAACGAAGAAGTTATAAATATTCTGCTTGCACAGGTATCTTCTTTATTTGCTGGTATCTTCTTGTTCCATAGCTTTCAGAAGTATTAAACACACTTTCGTTCCTTCAAATGCAATGGGAAACCGAAGGCTTAAAGGGCTCTCCCTGCCCATTAAAAGACAAGGCTTTGTTTTAAAGGTAAATAAAGGAAGGAAAGCTGACTGCAGGAGTGAGCCCAAAGCTGAGACTTGTTCACAGCAGGAAGGTGACACCGTGCAGCAACAACAAAAAATGTTGTTCATGTACTTAGAAAGCACTTCCAAACCTAACCAGTTTTGATACCGTTAACTACTTTCAGGCTGATCAAAGGAAGTAAGGCAACCATTCTGGCTTTTTTGTCTGCCTTTGCTTCCCTCAGCAGCTTTGATCTTCTCTCAACTGAACTCTGCTGCCTCATATTCATCTTCAAAGACTTATTTGATAATTCAGTTTTTCTAGTTATTTTACTGGTTAGCCAGAGGTTTCCCCCGTGATTTAAGGAAACAGCCGAACGAGCCAGCATTTGGTGCGTCATCTCCACAACTGCTGGGTATAGCAATCGTCTTGAGGGTTCAGAACAGGTATTGCTGGGTTTGAACTTTCATTTGCTTTGAGGTCTCAATGAGTCAAGAGTTCAAAGCAGGCATGCTAACCACTTCTACTGGAAGTATTTCAGAGAACAGCATCATCTCATACTTACTGCATGTTCCTGCAGAAAATTAAGTCAAGGCTTTAAGTGAACCGATTGATCATTGCAGGAGAACGAGATTTTAACAGAGCAAGAAGAACTGCTGGCCATGGAGCAGTTCCTGCGCAGACAGATTGCCTCAGAGAAGGAAGAAATCGATCGCCTTCGAGCAGAAATAGCTGAAATACAAAGGTAAAGGGGGAAGGGGCTGCTTGCATCAGAGCCCCACCAGGCCAGCACTCTGATTAAAAGCACATATATGCTCTTCTGAAATAATACTCAAACTACTCTTAAAAGCTCACCCTATGACTGCCACATTTGCTAAGCTACCTCTTTTTATTGAAATCTCAGCAACTGTGGACATTGCAGGATATTTTCTGTTAGCGTAACAATGGAATTATGGTCTAAAGGAAACCAGACCCTCTGCACTAAAAAAAAAATCCCCTAGGAAATCACTGGTTTATTAAATTAAGCTCTGAAAGAAAATTCTGACTTTGTTTTTAAGACCTCTTCAGTGGGTGTAAGTTAACTCTTTTACACTGCTACAGTTCTGGCAGACTTGAGGAAGTGTCCAAATCAGGGTTTTTCATTGGTCTTGCAGTCGCCAACAGCACGGCCGAAGTGAAACTGAGGAATATTCTTCCGAGAGTGAAAGTGAGAGTGAAGATGAGGAGGAGCTGCAGGTCATCCTGGAAGATTTGCAGAGACAGAATGAGGAGCTGGAGGTGAGATTTGAGTCTTTGTATTACTTTGGTGCTCTTCTCCTTAGCAGTCACTTGATTTAGTCTGCCAGAGATGTTTGCACATGTGCACACTGGTAGTTTTGCATCAGTTTTCCCTAGGCGTAAAATCCGCATGCTCTGGTTTTAAATCACTGTTGTGTGCAAGTCCACGTCGCTGTCAACAAAGCTTCGTTGTGTAATGCTAAAATCCCTCAGCTACAGCAGCTCTTTGTCAGAAGGAGCCCTGACATTTGTTTTCCTTACCTGAAAGATAAAGAACAATCACCTGAACCAAGCGATTCATGAGGAGCGAGAGGCCATCATCGAGCTGCGAGTGCAGCTTCGACTGCTGCAGCGAGCTAAATCAGAGCAGCAGGTGCAGGAGGAAGAGGAGCCAGAAAAACGCGGGGGCGTTTCTCAGCAGCAGCAGCAGCAGCAGCGAGACAGCGGCCTGGAGACGAAAGCAGCCAAAGAGCAGCCAAAAGCAAGCAAGGAGCAGCAAGTCAAGCCATCGCCAAGTAAAGACAGGAAAGAAACTCCTATTTGATCTGGCTCCTTGGAGATGCATCAACTCAACTGAACTGTGCAAATTACTGTAATGTGAGTCAAACTGCACAAATTATTGCTGGCTGTGTACATTCTGTAAAGAAACTTCTCTTTTAAGCCCTGGAGACTTTTGTCTCTAACACTTGTGGCTTCTACTTATCAGACTCAGGTGAGTTTGGAGAAGCCAGAAGAGTTTTCCAGTTAGTATCAGATTATTTCAAGACTGGTTTCCTTCAGGTGATTTAAAATAATTCAGTAACACTTTTATTTTAAACCAAAATCATCATTTCCATTCATTGAAGCAGGATTGGAAGAGTTCATTTTCAGTAAATAAACCACCCCCCACCCACACTCACTAATGATTTGCCTTGTGAATCTGTCCATTCTCATTCACCATTACTTCTGCTTATTAACGAGTCACTTCTTGCTTGTGCCTTTGATACCTTTCTGATGCAGATTATATACAAGGGAGCTTTAAATTTATTCTGGGTTGGCTGAAAAGTTGGGAGCCTGTGGGGTATCGTGTTTACCTAACATGCCCTTAAGCTTCATTTTTGTTCTGAGATGTACTGAATAAATGTATAAACTTGAGAGATGTTATTTATGTCCCTGTACGATGGAAATGTTCATCAAGAGCTGTTGGTGTCTTTTAGCGATGTAGGTAGCCCATTGACCCATTTCTAAACCGCTGCCATCGAGCCAGGAGCTGCTTTTTCACCCATTTCAAACACGTCGGTCCCTCGCAGAAAGCCACTGGCGGCTGCTGCAAGGCAGTGCTGGGGATGGCCACGTCACCACAGACCCGCCTGACCAAGCAATACAGCATTTCCCTCTGCAGAAATGCCAGGCACTTGTGCTTTCCAGACCAGCCTGCAGAACAACAGGGGGTCAGCAATAGCCTCTTTTTTGTTGTTTAAAAACCCAACCACCACCACCACCACCACCTGGGACTTGCTTTTGGTTTGGCCATTGTGAAAGTCTCAGCCAGGCTGGCATTTAGGGGCCATTTAATGTTTCGGATACACTCACGAGCCTCATCCATTACTTCATCTATAGACAGCGAACTCCACAGAGTGCGTATAGGCTATCTTATTTTTTAATCTGGATATTTATTTTCAGCACCTGTTGGATGTGGTTGTATTCTTTATCTATTGCACTGTTGTGAATCATTGGCCATGATTTGATTTTTGTACAAATAATGCTTTGATATGTTATAGAAAACAGCATAGTATTTTTTTAAAATTTGGAAAAAAAAAAAGTTTATAAACACAGAAAATGTGGTCAGATGACAAATGTAAACTAAAGCATTCTCCTCCCTTGCCTTCGTTACATACATTTTATATTTGCTGGCAATATTTAAATTTCTTTGTTTGTTTGTTTAATTCACACTAATTCCTATTGAATTGTCATGAATTTTTCTAATGTTCTTCAGACAAATCTCTTAATATTGGTTATCTTTTATTTTGTTAGGATTGTATTTATCAAGCAAATAAATTCAACAGCCATTTGAAAGCCGTTTCTAATGATGTCTCTACTTCGTAATGCAGATTATATTCTTGGGCAGGGACCTGCAGTGAAGAAGTTTACATGGAAAATGAATTCAGGCTTTCTTAATAGCTCACCTGTGAAAGAACAGTGTCTATGCATGGCATAGAAAGCTTCCAGAACTTAGCTGAAAAGCAAGTTTAATTTGATCAAATTACAGGTTTTTAAGACTCTGCTTCTCTATTAAGTACTAGAGACTGTGGCTGTGAAGGTAAAAACCATCATCTTTATTCACATCATAACTTCCAGCACCTGAACAGCCTGCTTTCTCCTACAGCCTTACAACGCACTTGAACAACATCACCCCCAGAATCCTGAACAGAGGTACAGCAACTGTAAGCAGAAATTTAGTTTCAAAAAAGCCTGAAAGATGTTTCTTTGACATTTTCTCACGTTCTTTCAACTGATACATCCACCGATACACTTAGTGATAAAACTCCTGTAAAGCCTGCAGTTATAAGTGTGAGCCAGTGCTGGCCAAATCAGACACTCACTGACAGCCCCAAAGGACGACAGCCCCAGGGGAGTCCTGGAGCAGCGACAGCCTCCGAGCTGTGGGTAAAACCCTTCCCTTGCCAGCACACCAGGGCTGTTTGCCCCTTGCCTGTGCCCTGCCCAGGGGCAGGTGGGGCTCTGGTGATGCAGCCACCTCTCCTGCCCCTGTAGGCTCCACTGAGGAAACTGGCTGCCCCAAATCCAGCAGCAGCATTACCTCAGCAGCAGCGTTTGCAGTGCTTGTGGTTGAAAAAGCCACCCTAGCAGTAGTGACTTCGAACTGCCTGCAGCAGTTGCAGATCATGAGCTGAACAAAAAAAGAAACCCAAGCTAATTTCAAATAAAGAGAAAAGTAATTACAACACAACAACCTGCATGTGGTGTTCAGATCACTTCATAAGCTGCCTTATCCATCCCAAGTGCCTTACACTGAAAGCTGGGAGCCTCCCACAGCGCCAGTAGTGCCTGCACAGCAGGCTGCCTTCATGGAGAGTCCATGCATGTCCTGAATAAGCAATTCATGTAAATCAGAGTATTTTAAACACATTTAAATTGACTTAAAATAAGACAGGATCCTTCCAACAGCATACAGCTTGAATGTGCCAGATGCAGCAACAGAACCTCTGTCAGACCTTTTGGACAAAATACCAAAATACTTAACCTTTACCGAGAAGCCTGCAATGTTCATTCTGGTGTTCTGGGCTTTACAAAACTTATTTGACAGTTTGCTGTGCCCCATCTGCTTTCCTCTTGAAAAAAAAATCTAAGTGTGTCCACCACAGAGCATTACTTCAGAGAAGGGGAGAATGACAGGACAGGGGACAGCTACATTCCTTACCTGGCTTGCTCGTCTTCCTAGTATTTTCTAGTTTTCTAGTATTTCTAGTCCATAAAGCCTTTGTACTCTGAAACATAACAGCCTGAAGTGAATTGTTACTTGCCTGAACAGTTGAAGATGGTGGGAGTTTTTATTTATTGAAAGAAAAAAAAAAAACAACCCCAAACCCACCAGCATGAGCAGTACCCCTCTCAGCTCACATCCCTACCACAAGGCTAAGCACCAGCTTGTGTGCAACACCTTGCAGGACTCCAGTCATCCCCTTCCAGGCTTCCTGGGCCCTGCGTTGCCCACAGCGGGTTCCCAGCGCTGGCTCAGCTTCATCCTCACGGAAGCAGAAGCCACCGGTTCTGGTGCAATTCTGACAGATGTCCTCAGTGCAGAGAGGAACGCTGACAGCCCTGCTGTGTGACAGTGCTTGGTGAAAGATGAAGGACGGCTGTACAGGAAGCTTTCACCTCCATTCACTCGTTCCAGTACCAGCACTGACGGTGGATTCATTTTTACCTCCGTGTCTCTTCAGATTAATAAGCTAAGTCTAATTTTTAAAGTCTGTGTAGTGAAGCCAAACATTTTACACCTGACCATGTAAGATTATTCTCTTGAAATTAAGAAAATAAAATTACAAAAAAAAATAAAAATCAAAGCATCGACCTGAACCTCTGCCAAAAAGAGGTTTGACAAAGCTTAATCTGTTAAGGTTTTCATTTTTCAGCATGCACCTCTGACTCATAGTGCTTCATCTGCAGAGGGAAAAATGCCTCATCCAGACCAAATGCAGCTTCTCCCCAGCCGCACCAGCTCTCTACAGTGTTCTTTAAAACACGCTCCGACAGCAGGAGCCAGCAGCACTGTGCTCTGTACCTGAGAGCAGCTGTCAGTCCTTCCTGGCCCAGGAAACCCCCAGCTGCCCCTCCATCCCAGCACAGATGTGAACACCCACAGCGACGCCTGTCAGAACAGACTCCTGGGGCGCTCCATGTCAGCACTTTCACCATTGCCCCGCTCCCACACCATGGACTGGTACCAAGTTTCATCTGGAGTTTCTTGTGTTGCTGACTATGTTAACAATGCAAGCAAGAAGGTCTGCCAAAGGATTATGTTGCAGAGCCTGTGATTTTAACCGGACAACCCCACTCCCACGCACTCAAGAATTCCCCATCTGAACTGCAAAACACAAAGAGTTCTCAGTACGGCAAAGTTATGTCTCAGGGCAGCCAGGCCAGCCCTTGCTGCCTGCCAGTGTGCCCCAGGACCTGCCCTGGTGTACCCTCTGACTGTACAAGAGCCATTAGCAGCAGCTGAGAGCCCCTCTACAACTTCCACTGACCACATCTGAAAGCGGGGCCTGTGGGGAATAGAGAAGAGCAGACATGAGGAAAAATCTTAAGACCAAAGGTTGCTGCATCCTAAAACTCAGGTTGTTCCTCAAGTTGCTGCGACTTGCCAGCTGGATCCTTCCTCATCATCCTCCTCCCATCTCCTTCATCATCATCATCCTTCATCATCATCCTCCTCCTCCCACCAGGGCTGCTCCATGCTCCAAAGCAGGAACCAAGGCCACTGGAGAGACCAGACCACTGCAAACTGGGGGTCATTAGTGTGGGCCTTCTTATTCTTAAATCCCTCTTCTCTGCTGGACACCCTGGTCCAGGAGAGGAACAGCAGCGCTGCCCCCTCACCCATGGCCTAAAGCTTCCCCTTTGCAGGGGGATGGAAGCCAACAGCACAGCCTTGCTTAGCTACAGGTCAGCAGATGACCGGGGAAGTAATTTTGATTTCACAGATGGGAATATGGCATCCAAGATCTCTGCACCAAGGAACTCAATTTCCAGCAAACCAGAGGTCTGCTGAGGAGGCCCAGGAGCTCCTGTTGCTGTACCCTCCCTTGCACAGAACCTCACCCCAGCACTGTGAGCCACTGCCTGTCTTATCAGGGTGCAAGGCCTTGAGGTAGGTAGGGGAAGGCCATCTCTGCTGATGGTATTGCCCACAAGAATCGATGTCAGGCACAAAAATGCAGAAGGTGACCAAAAAAAAAAAAAGAAATAAAACAAAACCACAAACCCTCACAGGTCAAGAGCCCAGAAGAAACCAGTGTGAAATAAATGACCAACACAAGACAAAGAGCCCAGCCCTCATTTGAGACTTTGCCATCTTATTCAAACCAAGTGTATCTGGGTTCATTCTTACATAGGAAACTTGGATTGACTGAAAAATAACTGGAATTCCTTTGATGTTCAAACTTTACCTCTCCTCCTCTCAGCAGTCGTTAAAAGACATGCGCAGAAGCGTGCTCAGTACCTTCACTGTTCACAGCCATGATTCAAATCCACCTGCAGTTAGTCCCTTTAAAACATTTCCCATACAGAAACACTGCTACACCTCTGCAGAAGCAGGTCACGGTATTTTGAGCAGGCCATGGCCAGAGGGCTGCAAAGCATTTACAAATCTGTTTACTTGGCTCTGCTAAGTCACAGAGTATTTTAATGGGCAACATGTAGTCCAACCTCAACAGCAATTGAGCCCTAAAGCATTCCCATTACCTTGGGCTCTTGATTTATCTGATTCAAGTAAAAAGTTAAGTAACAGTTAAGTAAAACTAAAAGGCAGAGTTTGAAAGCACTCGGGGGTGGGGAGGGAGATCACACACATTTGAAATGAGCTTTCCTGTCATAGTTTTATCTTTTTAAAAGGCAGTCTAGCAGTATGTCCTAACTCTGCATATAAAAAGGAGATTAATCACTTAAGAGGTACTTCCCATGTTGTCTGAATGCCAGCACAGACAGGAAGAGAAGCCTTTCCCATCAGCAGCAGAGAAACACAAGGGAACAAGCGTAACACCCAATCGGCTTCTGTCCATCTGCCAGTCTCAGACTCCCCATCCTACCGAGACAGAGGTCCCCAGGCCAGAAAACATGAACGCAAGACAAGCAGCCTTAAGGAGCATGGGATCTTGTCCACAGGGCCAGGAATTTGTGCAACAGCCACCTGGGATGTTGAAAACCAAAATCTTATTTCCAACTGTCAGTTATGTCTTGGTTAAAAACAAACTGCCCTCTAGAGGGGTCCAGGCATTTGCTGGTTTTATTGGCATGAAATGGGCAAGGAAGCGTGGTGAGGAAATGGTGCTGCCAAATCCTGATGGGTCTCTGGGGAGGAACAACCAAAGACAGAACCTGCTGTGAAAAACAGCAAGCAGGAGAAGGGCAGACAGTGCAATAACCAGGACATGGGAAAAAAAGAGATTTCCCGTGAAGAAACTCCAAGAGAAGTGAGCCAAGAGATTCAATGGAAAACAATTCCAATTTCTTGTGAAGGACTGATTTGGTATTCTACCAAGAAGGCAGGGGTAGAGCTGCGATACCGCTTTTGGGAAACTGTGGACTGAGGGATGACGATTTGGGAATCACCTTAATTTCTGCTCAAGAAACACTGAGCAAAACAGAAGTGAACTGAGATACAAAACTTGCATCTTTCTTCAGGAGAGACACACACGAGAGAATTCACTGGGATCTTTGGCCACATTCCCAGACACTGCCCCACAGAAACACTGCTCCTTTTTTCACCACTCGGAATCAAGATGCGCATTTCCCCAAAACCCATATCCTTCGGGACAAACTGAAGCCTGCATTACTGACACAGCTAACACTGCCGGCATGAGAAAACTCCCTAGCAGAAGTAGGCAACAGAGACCGCATCCCTGGGGCTGCACATCAAATGCTCTTGGGCAATACTGAGAGTAAAGCGAGTCTTCCCTTCCCTTTCATTTCAATTCTTAGGAATCAGCAAACGAAGCGGAAAAGAGGCAGACAGATCCATGACATGCTGGGTGAAGGAGAAAAAAAGAAGAAAGACAGCTCTTTCTCCTCTTCCCTGAAGACAGATCTGTACTTGTTCCATGTCAGGAAAATTCGGGCACTCTGCAACTGAAAAAACACTCAGTCTTCCTTAAGAAAAGCCCCAAACTCTGGCCCACACCATTACTGAAGCAATACTGAACAAAGAGAAATAAAGCATCTGGAAGATCTGTCTCATTTTTCAACTTACAGGTGTCTTACCCCTAAGTAACTAGAAATACCTAGAGGATCAGATATAAAGCCTCACTTCACTGGATTAGTGGAACAGCACATTAGTACAGTAACAGAATTGGGTTGGGACATGCTCATTCTGCACCCCAAACGCTATCACTCCTTTGAAGTCCCAATATTCCTTCACCAAGTACTGCACTTCCTTCACAGTGAGAAGATGACCTGAAGCAGGCTTTGGTCTGAACAAAAAGCTGATCCCATTCACCTCAGAAACTACACACGAGACCTACATAATTCAGATGTCATTACACTGAGGCAAAAAACAGACCAAGGGGTTTACATACCCTGACCCAAATGCAGAAATCCACTGGACTTCAGTGAGTATTTCTAAAAATGTGAATCGTCTGGCCTGGGAGAAGACTGGTTGCTTTTAGTTGTTCTCCATACGGCAGCAGGGAGATCTCAGAAATCCTCAAGAGCTCACTCCTTTGTGACAGTCTGCTGTCACCCACAGTGCTGTCACACTGCCCAGTCCTCTAGGGATTTGGGTGTGATTTCTGAAGAGTTATTGGAGAACACAAGGAACAGAAACCCTGATGAGGATATCACCTACACTACAGGAACTTATGACATGGGCATACAGTTGCCTTTTCAAATGTTAAGCTGATTTTGAAAAGGGACAAGCAAAACGGGAAAAGGGACAAAACGAACTAACAAACAAACAAACACCCCACACTACCAAAACCAAGACAAACCAAGCCTAAAAAAAAATTAAAATCCAACCAACCCAAAATCGCCCCAAACCCACCAAGCTCCAAGGCAGACAGAGATGACTCTGTATCTTACCCACCTTCGTGGCCATACTCAGGAGTAGTAAACCAGGCCTTTGGGGAGTAAATAGCAATGTTCTGTTTACCAGAGAAGAAACTGCAGAAGAATCTGCCTTCCCAAGAAAAGAGGGGGGGGGAAAAGAAGACACCTGCCTGAAGCTGAACTGCCAGGGTATCAGGCACCTGAACAATAACTGAAAATGTTCTGCTAAATACATCAAAGATAAGCTGCCACAGCCATTTCTACCTCCTCAGGAAAATACGCTTCACACCCCTTCAGGGTCTGCAGGCTGGAGGAAAGGTGATTTAAGCAAACTGCCTCTGGAAGACAGAAGGAGACACTGTATCAGTCACTTCAAATGAGAGGGAAGGAAAGCAGGCAAGGGACTGCAGGCAGACAAAGGGCAGTTTGAGCTCACAGTTTTCTGTCCATCTGGACTGAGGTGGATATTCTGACCCACTTCAGCAAAGACACCGCTTGACGCAGGAGTGACAGGTTCCCAAACACAACTGGGATGCTTGAAACAGAACCTAGCAAAGCCTCAATTACACGGCCAAAGTACATCTGTGCTGCAGTATATTCCGTCTCAAAATACAAAATTCTTCACAGTCATTAAGCAAATGCCTTCCCTCTACAACAGCCATCAAAGTGTAAAGAACCAGGTAAAAAAAAAGGCCACTTAAATTTCAAACTTATTCTTTTAATGTCTTAAAAAGGTCACAAGATTGCTTTCAATCTTATTAATAAATTTTATTTGGACAAGTAGAGAACAACTTGTATCACAACAGCTTTAAACAACATGATTAAAGACTGCGGCACTCCAAGGAGCCTCACAGATATGTACAGTATATGAAGAAAAAAGTTGCACCTCAGAGCCGATCACGATCAAGTTAAAAATACCTGACTTAAAGTACATGTGCTAATAAATTTCCTTTAGGTCATGACCAGCATGAAAATAATTAGAACACAGGTACTCAGCAAAGTTTTCTGCTAATGGGTACAGCAATATGCTGCATTTAAGGATTAAAATCAAATTCTAGTTTAGTGTTAGCACTGAGCCCTTAAGAGAAATCCAAATTTCTACTTTTCTCAATTTACAAACATCAAAGCTATTCCCACTTAAGGGTGTGCCCAGCTGCACACAAATCGAGTCCTTGAATGATAAAAACTTTTAGCACTAATACTGGAGGTCTTACATCCTGGTACAAATTTGCCTTTCTGGCCATTCGCTATCAGTTGCTACAGAAAATATTTGCTAAGTTAACTCCTCAGGAGAAACAACGCAGGTCTCTGGAAATCACATCCTTTCTACAATGAAAATGATCTGCCAATTCAAGTTTCATTTGTTCAGGAAGACAGAAGATTTAAGGCTTCGGTGGCAAAAATAATCCTCTGAGCAGTGTTTTTCTAAAGTCAAGCTGACACAAGTATGTTTACTTTTTCTTGACTTAAAATCCCTGGTATCAGGTTTAGATAACATCCACCTGGTAAGTCTGGCAAGAAATCTCTCCTTCCAAAGAGGTTGTTCTAGATCAACCATTTTAGAAGCATTTGAGGATAGTTTGTTTAATTTTTCTTTAATTATAGCAACATTCGGAACTTTTTAATAAGTCGATGAAGCAGTGCTCATGGCATCATCTGCAATTTTGGTACTGGCAGGGTGTATGCTTGCAAAATATTTGACATCACTGTCATCATCCATTTGAAGCGCCATAATCGTTTGCTCCACAGCTTCCTGATGAGAGTTGGCAGAATTGAGAAAATACTCTGTAAGAGAAAATGCACAAGACTTATCGGAGGAAAAGATGGCAGATACTTCAACGCAAAACTCAGCATGTTATCCTGAGGTTCAAAATCTCAGGAGACAGTGCACACATACAGTCAAACTGGAATATCTGAGCTCGCACACAATACACTTCTGAATTTACCTATGAATTCACCTTAAAGGGAAAAAAAAAAAAATCACTCCACGTTTCAGAGCACAGTTGCTCTAAGAGTGCTGCTAGAGAACACAATTTCTACGGTCCTTCAGTATAAAAGTGAGCGTAACAGACTACATGACCCAAAAGGAATTAAAAACCTGCAAAAGACTCAGGAGTGTGCCAATATTGTGATGGAGAGAAGGTATCACAAACCCATGGCCATGCCATTCCATTTCACTGGCAAGTCTGCCACATGATTATCAAACGATAAAACTAAAATAGTATTAAATAAAAGTGAAAGAAGTTCCAACATCTGACAGTTTTCATGAACTACACAGCACAAGTCGCATAAAAACAGCATAACTACAGACAGCTCCTGGGAAGGGCAGTTTGGATCTGAGGTTTAAAAACTTCTGAACTTAAATTTTCAATTTGCCTTTTATATTATTATATACACCATCCCTAATTACACACACAACATCTTTGAGGCAGGGACTACCTGCATTATAAGCTTCCACAGTGGCAATGCAGAAGGGAGGCGTACCGTCCAGGTGAGGATCACATAAATAATGAGGACAACAACAAAAATACCAATACCACATGATAGCAGGAACAACAGTGACAGCCTTGGCACAGTTAACAGAGGATAAATTGCTGCACGTCAGCTGATCCATCTTAACCGTCTGCATATGCTTACTCAGAGTCTCCAGCATGCACAAGGCAGCCAGCAATAGCCTAATTCTCACTGCATTGGCATCCTTGATGCTGTCCAGTTTTTAACGTTTTGCATTTTTCTTCACACTTCCTATGCTAGAAACAGCTGTCCTCAAGCCCGTGTATGGTTTTGAGGAAGACAGTGATCAGAACTGAGTGAAATATCCCAAGTGTGGACACTCTGCTGGTTTACAAAATAGCATAACATTTCTAATGCTATTTTCCTTTGCAGTGCTTTGGAATCTGAGCACTGTTGACTCTTCTGGCATCTACTATGCATTGGGGATGCTTTTCTAAGCAAAGTTGGCTATTTGAAAGCTGCATGTCTAATTTCCCCAAAGAGACTCCAGAGAAACTTTCTTTCCACTGCTATCCATAAAATATAAAAAAAACAAGCCAGCAGCCATCTCTTCTCCCCCAGTGAGAAAACAGATGGTGGATTTGCACGGAAGGGTTTTTCTTTTTTATCCTTACTACACAGAACATCAACAGAGTTTTTTAACCAAATAAAAGGCACTGCTCAACAACTTCGCAATTGCTAGTTGTTCATTCGAGCTGTCTGTGCCCTGATGACATCTCTGCAAACTAGCTGATTCAGGGAAAATGGTACAGAAAACAGGCTGGCAGATGAGCAAGAACTCTTATCTCTCCGGCACTACACAACAGTGACGGTGATACCACAACAAGGTTCACGGGTTTATGTCAGACAAGGCAACATTCCACACCAAGGAGACTAAAAGCAAGAGCATCCTACACCTGTCGTTGTTTCTTCTTTCGCAGCTGACTATAGGAAAGTGGAGAGGCAAAAAAAGATATGCCGTCAGCCCACTGTGACTCTTTCTGACCACTAACCTTTCTCTAAAAGGGTTTGCTTTAACGTTTTTGCAAGCAGGACTCGAACATTTGGAACCCTGTCAGATGCCAAGTGTAATAAGTGTGGCAACAGATGCACAGCAAACTGGTCCATGGGCAGGCAGTCATCTTCACTGATAGTCTGGCAAGAAGACAGAAGCAATTTCATTAGATTTCAGCACAGTGAGGATAAAATCCCAACACATAATCAGAGCTGACACATCTTTCTACCTCATAGCACAAGCACAGTAGTTAGTATCCACAAAGATTTAAAATACAGTACAATACTTTCTAACACAAAGTTGTACACAATGAAGCAAGTTTGGGTTGAGAAAATTCAGGCTCAGTTAGAAGTCCACTTTATTTTATGTGACGTCTGGCAACTTCCTTATTTTTACCGGTTGGGTGGTTTTTTTTTAATCACTGTATAATTTGAAAACAGGGAAGAAAAGTAAAAGACCTTCCCAATCCTTTTTAATATTGATTAGTCTCTGTTTTAACTGGGTACTACATTAAGACAAGAATAGTCCATCTCAATAAACATCCACTGTACCCAAACACGTTTCTCTAAGTAAGCTCAAAGCTCACATTTCTCCAAATACTTCAAAGAACTCTCCCACTTGGGCAGCCGTCATGTTAGCTCCCAGTCTGCACCTCTGCTACAGCCTCCAAATTTGACCATTTCCTTGGGACACCAGCCAGCATCAACCCTTCTGCTTATTTGGCTGAGAATACGTTGGTTTTGACCAAGCTGCACTAGCTGGCTAAGGAGGTACAGGCAACTCCTAGCACTCGATTTCTAAAAGGTAACCCAAGAAAGTGGTAGGCTGCTGCAGCGTACTATAAAATTCTCCCTTTATGCTGAGTAAAAAAGCAGCTTCCCAAATCAGGGATTATTTTGCTATGTGTTTCATACTTAACATCAGATCTGACAACCTGATGTTAATATGCTAACTGAAGATGTATTCAAGATGCAGCAACACTGAAGAAAGCAGCTATGAAACCCTATCCTGTTGGAAACAAAGTTCTCAAAGATTCATTAAAATAGTGTCAATAGACAGCTAAAGAGTTCCAGCTGCTTATCATCCCTTCATTCTTACCACCACCCCCCAAAAAAAACCCCAAGATAACAAACAAAAAGACACTTTACCTGGCAAATAAAGACAAAAGTTTGCCGACCAGACCATTTGTGGCATCGACAGAACTTTTCAACAAGTTCATTCATGAGGTCTACCACAAAGGTTGATGTTGAAGCCATGTACAGCTTTTTTACCATTTCACTAACCTTAAAGAAATGAGGAAAAAAAAATACTAAAATTACTTCTGACCACCAACCCTCAGAAGTTTGAAATCCTGAATTTACTTAGATTCCTTTACCAGCTTGTAAGAAATCCAGCGGACAGAAGACACTTTGTCTGCACAGAGGCTGAAAGCAATAGGTCGCAAGTAGTCATAAATGTCTCTGGCACTGTACAGATCTAGAAGCAAGATCAGTTGCCTACAAGATGGAAAAAAACCAAGCAGAGTACATTATGATATGAAGAAATGTAGCTTTAACTGTGAGTATGATCATTTATATGACAACATTTGCCAAATACGCAATATGGTGATAATAAAGTTACTGAAAAGTAAGATCTTCTGTTTTTCAATGCCATCAGTTTGACTATGGGTCACATACAAATTTTAAATTGCCACTTATTTACCATAATGATAAAATGCTGCATGAGCTCAAAGAATGAAAAACCAGGGGAAAGGCAACCAAACCAAGGCTCCATTCACAAGACAGGGGTCCCGATACAGTGTACATGCAGCACAGCAATCCAGGTGTGAATGACACCGCAGTGTGTGCACATATTTAAACACCTGGTGAAGACATCTCATCATCATTATCAAAATCAAAAAACTTCCTCTACTTCAGGGTATGCTGGACAACTAGACAAATTATCACTTGTCTTCAATTTGTAATGATTAAGTGGATTAAGATTTCAGGAGATTGCAGACACAGGTATATGTCACAAATGGTAGAAAGTATGTCAAAAGAAGTGGCATGACATGTTACAAGCAGCAGACTGAACATCTCCATAGCAGCAGTAACAAGTAAATGATTTGTAGTTACTAATCAAAACAACACTTAAATGTAGCAAAACCATCATGAGCAGTTGTTAAATTAGGTCTCTCAAAAGATAGACTGTTATTTGGTCATTACTGTATGCTCATTCCATCATTCCTGCTAGAAAAGACTTCTCAGAGGAAGTCCACGGTCACTACTCTGGTACTCGCTTTCTTTACTCCCCTGAAGATCTTGATTTCCTCCATTTCACAGTCATGACTTCAAGTTGCTATATTTGATGAGCAGACTGAAGTCAAATGGCTAGAACAATTCTATTGCCTTCAAGAGCAACTAGATGTGGTCTCCTCTTTTGACAGCTTCTTTTTTTTATGTAAGGCTAATGTTTTCAACATATGGTGACAGAAAAAGACATTCAAGTTGCAACTATCACTACCGGGAATTTTCAGCACGGGAGACAAGTGGAAGAGGATAAGGACTATGCACCAATTGAAAGTGAAATGAAGAATGTCACTGTAAAACACCTATTCTACAATTTAAATATCCATAACAATAAAAACAAAGCATCCAGAAAACTACATACTCAGCCAGCTCAGCACGGAAACGCCAGTTCCTGCTGTTATCTGTCACCAGGAATTCCTGAAGCTGATAAAGATACTCCCGTCTTTTGTCAAGATGAAGAAGCTGTAACAGTAAATATAAACTTACATGTAGGCTCCAATCAGCAGATAGAACAAAAGCTTTAGATCTTTAGCAAGAGTGTTGCTTTCCTGGGCTAAATCCTATCATGGTTAAGTCTGTAAAATTACATGGGGCACTACTGAAAGCAAAATCTAGTCTCTACTTTTACTCTAGGAAACAAGAGGGGTAAGCAGGAAAAAGAAGACTGATTTTAAAGGTTTTATGATTTGTGTCTTTCAGCTCCAAAAATGAAGCAGTTACAGAAAAAAATCCTAAAGAAAATTGAGAAGCAAGCTGTGTAGAGGCCAGAGCCATCAAAAAAACTTAATACAATTCATTGCCACCTATATATTGAATAAACATGCACAAACCAGGCTCTTCAGAAAAAAGAAAGTATCAGCAACACAGACCGCCCGCAAAATCTGCTCTGTATGGATTTCCACAAAGAGCTATACCAATGTTATGTTAAAAAGTAAGTGCATACAAAGAAATGAAGTAAAATTGCACTTGACCGGAGTTGAACACAGACATACCTTCAGAAAGTCATGCAAGTGTTTAAGCACACCTATCCTAACTTCATCCAGATCTTTTAAAAAGCCATTGAAGACAGGAACTAAATCTCCAGCTGTAAGCTGGTCTCCAAGGATGACGGCAAGTTCATGTATAGAAAATGCTAGTGTCCGCCGAACCTTCCACTGCAAAATAAAGATATTTTATTGCTGTACCATCTGAAGTGCTCTATTTTAACTTGAGGGTCAGTATCCAAGCTGGACTCCCAGTGAGCTTACAGTACTTAGAAATACATTCAACAGTGTCTCATGTAACAAATGAAAATGAAATTGGAAATTAAAAAAAAGGGAAAGAGGGGACAAATAACAAGGTATCATTTCTTCCACCTGAATATCAAGGAAGTAAGCAAACAGAAGTAATTAAAATATTTTAATTTTCTAGGTGTTGGGAAGGAAAATAGTATTCCTGACATCAGTATTCCTCTATATATTACTCTCTGCTTTACATTCTTTTGGGTAAATTAAGTTCCATACTACCACTCTCACTCATTTAATTTATAAAGCAAGCTAAGATATACATCTTATATTATATTAGCTTGCATATTTTAGCTTCCATAATAGGCAAAGTTTCACCTACACTGAATGCCCAGCAGTCCAAGGGCCAGTAGAGTTTTCACTCACCCTAAACTGAGGGAGTACTGTTTTAATGGAGTAACTATTTCAGATAAGTCTTTTAAAATATGAAATAGCATCTATTCTTTATCCAGCACTTTTCAATTAGCAGCGATACTGTTCTTTTACCCTAGCTTAGTGATTCAATCTTAATTCAGATTAGAGTGGTGATAGACTTGACAGTTTTGAATGCAGGGTAATTTGTTTTTACTTACGTTTTAAATTTATTAGCTGGTTGCTTTTAATGGCTACAAAAGAGTTTGGAAAATATGAGCAATAGCCATGTATAAAATTACTCACTACATATCACTGAGAACTGCTGTTCTGACATAGCAAGCAGCAAGTCCAAGAGAGGTGAAGCAGTCTGAAAGTGTTTTAAAAAAATAAAAAGAGCATCTCCAAAAAAAGAAACAAAGGAGGACTGGGAAAGAACTGTAAACTAACAGTAAAGTACACAAAGACACCTCCTTACCACCTGACAACAGAAAAAGTGCTGCTATTCCCAGTATTCGTTTTTAAAATAGCAATGCTGCATAGTGATAGGGATGTTATTCCCCTCTGACTAACTGGATGCAGCAAAAAAAAGGCCACCAAACGGCCTGGTGTGAGGCTGACTCACTCAGCTACAGACATGCCTGGAGGGGCACATGTCTGTTCTTGCACAGCAGCACAGCCCAAGTTCTCATACTTATGAGAATCCCAAGCACTGCCATAAGATCTCAAGCGAGCGGAGGAAATGGGAGACTTACATTGTACAAATAATCAGCAATGGAAAGCTCCACATAAAAAGCAGGGCAACCCAACACCCATAAATAAGAGAAATCATCACAGAAGTTCAGGTTATTCATTGTCACGTCATAAAAATTCAGCTCACTTGCTGTCGGAGGTTCTTGAGCTTACCTGCATGTCAGATGCCAGTGTCTCATAGGTGTCTTTCAAACAGTGCCAATTCTGTCGGCCCAACGTAAGTGCCACTCCTGGCAGGCTGTAGGCACAGTGTTTGGCAATCTCGGTATCGACTGTTTGTGCTCGAGATGGATCCGTCATTGATAAATACTGATCCAGCAAGGCTTGAGGTACAACATCCTACAGCAAGGGTAGAGCGTTTACACTGTTTTCAACAAATCCTCATAATGCTTTCTAGAAGTCCAGTGCACACTGTCAGAATTAACTAAATTAAAATGCCTTGGGAGAGAGGGAAGGGGAGATGGCAGGGTGCAGTGTGTTCAATACTGCTTCCAAACTCCCTTAATGGCCAGCAGGAAGGAAAAGGCTTCTCCAGAGACAGAGATCTCAGGTGAAGACCAATTCATCTCTCCACTGAGAAATTAAAGGATCTGAACAACAATCTTGTGAAAACCTCTTTGCGTTGACTTCAACACTGTCTTTGCTTCAGCCGTTGTCAGTTTATCTCAGGCAGTGACTCTACCCAAGGGGGTCCACAAGAGCATTTCCCCAAGAGCTGTCAAATAGCTCAGCTCATAAAAGCAGCAAAAGGGAGTGAGAATCACACTGGTGCAGGGTGGCATACTTAATGCTGAACCATGTAACAACAAACATTCGATTCCTTTTGGGAGCTTAATGAAACACTTCACAACTTCTCTGCAAAAAGCTGTCATGGGGTGGGGGCGGTTCCACTCAAAATGTTTAATAAAAAATCCCATTTCCTCAATAACTTAGTTTCCATTACAGGACAGTTTCTTTAGAAAATGAAAATGATCAAGAGCAGAGCCTGGATATCTATGACAACCATTACCCCATATCAAAAAATACTGTCATCTCTTATACATAATTAAAACAGAAGCAACTGCAGAATTAAGCCATTATCTCTGGAAACAGGGGCTATTTTAAAACTACTGATTTAAGAGGTTCACCAAATTTAATAGAAATCACATCAGGAATAACTGAATGAAATGCATAAAAGAAATCCCCACATACATAAAAAATATTTCACTTATCTCATAAACGTAGGACAAACAGAAGTCACTGTCATTTACCTGTACTTTGGATTTTCTTTCTTCTTCAGGGCTGAAACTACTGTTGGTGCTCAGATCTGAATCATTATGAATATAGTGAAGTGTAGAATCCATATTCTATGAAAAAAGAAAAAAAGTCGCTCAAAATACACTCAAGGATTAAACACAAAACAAGTGTCAACATCAAGAAGTGCTGCCCTCGCTTCAGAGTCTTCTTAGATTAAAGGAATACATGGTTTAATATCAAATACAACTTTGCTACAGCCCAAAATCAAAAGGTTTGTAAGCTAAATCTTTCTGCTTTCAATTTTCAACACAGGCTCCTCTTATTCTGCTTCATTTTGGTTCTTATGGAATGAAAATCACAGGAGACGAGTACCTTTGAGACTGCATTAAGGAAAATGTAACTAACATATGGGTCACATTTCTCATTTTCCCCTCGGGGAGAAGCAAACTTCTGTTGCGGATTTTGTTGGATTTGTTGCTTTGGATTTATGCAAGAAAAAGGTCAAAACAAAGCCACCCTCACACTTAAGAGTAAAAACTGGTGAGACTTATACTGCTGCTCCTTTCCTGAGACGATTATTCTATAATCTGCTCAACAGATGAGCCTCACCTTATAATTCAGAATCCCAGTGGACCATAGCTGCTGACACTAGTCATCACCCCTCTCAGCACTTCTATTAAAATCATTTTTAGCAATCATTCAAACATCTTGGCTACATAGCTGGGCCTTGAAGATAAGGACTGAGGCTCTGTTTCAGAACTGTACCGAGCAGCAGAGGTTTGATGTGCTGTGATAAACTGTGCTGCTGAGAGGATGCACTGTCACTTTCTATACCAGTGGAGTTCCCCAGATACAACGGACTTTGCATAATCAATCAAGAATTTCAAGTAGTACGTGATGAATATTTGACAAGGAGACTGGGCTGCTGCGTGATAGACCAGGAAAAGGAATTTTTGCTAGATATAAGCCAAGGTATCTATTCACAGACACTGCAGGGTGAGCTCTCAGGGTCAAAACAAGCACCGAGAACATGCCTACTCTACCAGCTGTTCAGATCAATTTGACAAAGAGAATTTTCCAGCAAACTATGAACTTCTTCAAAAAAGCCTCCAGGATACCATCTGTCTTCCTTGCTTTGACTTCAGATGGTTGCTTTTTCCTTTTGCATGAGCTGCTTTCATTTAAGCACCGAGTTGTAATTTTAGTCACTGAGATATAATTACAGGTGATAAAGAACAGGCAGAGCTGTGAGGCAATTGCATACCATGGGCACAGCAGCCCAAATCACCTGTCAGCCTTATCAACCAGCAGCAAGAAGGTAGCAAAGAGCTAAGGAAAGAACAGATCTGCAAGCTACTCTGTGACTAAACGTGTCCAGCAGCATAAAACTCCAATTACAAAACCTCCAGAGGCTCTGAAAACCATCTCTGCAGGATTTTAGTTTGGCAGTCAATTCTTCACTCCTTTTTAGCCTTTTTTTTTCTCTCCCCCCAGAATAAGAGATCATTTTCAGCATTGCCAGAAAGTCACTGGCTGTGACCTCTTTCAAATCAAGAAATTGTGATGCAGCCAGCACAACCCAGCCACAGTGCTTCCATGAGCTGCCCAGGTGTGTGGCACCGGAGGCTGCTCATCTATTCTGCTACAATAAAAATGAGAAGACTCCATCTCACAATCTCTGCTACCCCAGCTCTAAAAGGCTAAGTTAAAAAAAATTAAAAAGAGAAGATAAAAATACTACTTTATTGACTGAACCAAGTTCAACAACTCAATATAAGGAATGGTGTCACAGATGGGAACATTTTTACTCAGCCACTTTTAAAGTCAAATAAGCGTTCCAGAGAGGAAGAGCTTCAGTACAGAATCACCGCAGCATTAGTTGGTATTTAAGCCAATGCAGTATCTCTATTCCTGCAGATGAAGCTCCATCTGTACTTTTTCCATGTAACATGCACACCCTGAACTGAGCACTGCAGAGAGCCAGCAACATAAAAATTCAGCAGGGTTTAGCCTGAAAGCTTCTTGGGTACCAAGCTGGTGAACCACCACCACCACCACCACCTCTGAGATGCCAAATATTTGTCATGTCATTACAAATCTCTAATGTGAGGTTTCCTTTAGCTGCAGGGCAACAAGAGTTGTGCTCCATAGACCCCTGCTCTGTGCCACAGGCTGCACACAAAGCAAAAAGAGGACTCCCACACCCATCTACTGAGAATAGGACCTGGGGAATTTCTTGAGGCTTACATTCATTTATCAAGCCTCACAGAGAGCATACAACCTAAAGAAAATAGAAATGGTAGCTCCCGAGGAAAAATAAAACAGCTACCTTCATCTTCAACAAACAATCTTCATCTATGTCCCAAAATCTTATCTGTTCACTCCATTACAATATTTATTTTCATTTGAATAGAGAATCTCTCTTTAACATGTAGCATTAACTCTTTCAGGAGCCGATACAGCTGCAGAAGGACAAACAAAGCGCAATTTTGCTTTGTGATATGTGTGCAGAACTGTGAAGGCTGCTTTCAAATACAAAATGCTGTAGCTTGGGTTTTCCAGTGTCCAGTACCCTACTGACACATTGCTATGCAGACTTAAAATAACCAAACCAAATCAGAAAAAAAAAGCCCAAACAAACAACACAAACACCTCTCCACTAAGGGCAACAGTTTGCTTGCTCAACAGATCACAGCTTGATTCCCAAATTCTGGGTCATCTCTATGACATCCTTTCACTTGTAAAATCTGGACTTGATTCAATGCCAATAACAAACAAGGAACTGACAGATTAAGAGCATACTTTTAACAAGTAAAACTGAAACATGCAAAACCAACATATCCCAGCAATGGGACAGGTTCATAGATTTCCTGTCAGCATCATACTCTAAAGAAATAAATGCAGGGCAGGTCCCTCTGAAAAAACACCACCCTCATCACTCCCCAATTTTTCTTTCTTTCTCTTAGAAGGGCATAGGATACATCTACAGCGTCATTTTACAGGTTAGCATTAGAAAGAAGTGACTACAACAGATTCTATTATAAAGAAACGTATCGAGCCCGACATCAGGAATTGGGGGCAGTTTGGTTTTTTTGAAACAAAGAAACCCGCCAACTACATGTGTAGTAATAAATTATGACTGTGTATGAACAACAGTATCCAAGTAAATGTCACATTCCTCCACTCTCCAAACATTTTCAGGTGACACAGTGGTCCAATAGCTTAGGTGAAAAGTTAATTAAATGTCATCTAGAAACACTGCTCTAATTAAAGAAGGTTGAAAACGTCTGTGCTGGACTGATGTCAATTCCTAGACTTTTCACAGACATTTATCAAAATTTCATCTGAATATACCATTTAGGCAACATTATTCAACAAATCACTAGCTGCTGTTTTATGGACCATATTTTGGAACCACTGCTTTCTACACAGCTAAAGCTTTTAATACCACCAGAGGTTGTGGCATTAGACATCATGAGCATAGCGGGTTTGGCCTAATACACAGCACAGAATAAAAAACAGTATCAAATGCCATAGACTTCAGTCAGGCAAAGGGCAGTGGTGGGGTGCTAAAGAAGAAACTGTAAAAAACTTCAAAGTGTTTCTGATTGCTAGAATCCTCTTTGTCTTCAAGCAGTCCATGCAACATCTCAGATTGCAGGTCCTGAACTGGCAAGTAAATGACTAAAACTACTATAAAACACTTTGACAGGGAGCACAGGGAACAAAGTACCTCTTCCTCCAAATGGGAGGGGGGAAGCAAGGCAGGAGGGCAGTGGAGAAGGGTCACTTACTATCAGTAAGGAAGGCAATATCACAGTAATAAACTGCAATAGCATTAAAAAATCTTAAAATGTGATAGGCACAACAGATATTTTAATACAAATTACTTCAAGAATTTACATGGACAAGCACAGAACTGGCAAAAACAAAGGCACTCAACGCAAATCATTATATTCTAGTAGCTAGCGTCTCAATACCAGCCAACAAAACTGAACACCACACTAGCCAAAAGTAGGAAGCATTTGGCTGCAATTACCATATGAACATAAAATACAATTCTATTACTGGCACCCTGGAAATCCTAAGGGGAGGAAAAATATACAGTACAAAACTCACTTCTTACCTCAACAGTGTCACCAATTAAAGGCACGATATCACCCAGTATAGGTTTAAAAGTTTGTTGGTCATTGATGGTTAGTTCAGTCTGTGAGTCTGGTCCCTTGCTGACGCTGGCCACTGGCTCTTCTCGAGGATCCAAACTGGATGCTCTGAGTGCAGCAGACAACACCTCCACTTGTGCTGCAGCGTATGATAGAGGAATACATGAGAGACTGAACTGCAATCAACTTTTAGACAGTGACTAAATTAACTGAAAGATGGCAAAAGAACAAGAGAGGTACAAATTTAGGATTACTGACTGTTAGTAAATCCCAAACTGGAGACAATTAGAGTAAAATGTAAGGCAGATTAACACTCCACTCTTTTCCTAAGGTGCTCAACCACACTACAGTTCAGTGAAATTTGTCTTTAAAGAAAAAACAACCCCAACAAACCAGGAGTAAGAGACTGCTGTTATGGCAGGATCAGTTCTTTAAGAATCTCAGTAAACATTAATGGTCCAATGAGTCCTCAGGGCAGAACAGCACATGAATATCAACTTACTGACCGGGTCTTTCATGGAAGGTAGGCATCAGAGGGAAGAGAAAAGTAATTCAAATAAAGGTTGAGAATAGGTCTGTTCATACAGAAAGGATTTTGGTTCTGAGAGGCTGTCTCTCTCTTCATATGTGGTCATTAAATTCTTACATTTTTATACCAACTCTATATAGGAAGATACTAGACCCCAGTAACTCTTTTCTGGACTGGATACTTTAGCCTCCTTGCATTCTCCAAACAAATAATGAAGGTTGCACTGTTTGATATCCTCTTACTCATCAAAAGAGAGCATTAGCACTTCATGCTGCCATCCATTTATTTGAAAAAGATCCAGCAGTGCTGAGACTGCTCTGCTTTCCATCCCTCTGCTTACTGCTCATTAAAAAAGGCTTTGCTGAGCAATGTTCCTTGGCTTTAGCCTGACCTAAGGAGGTCAGGTATCAGAGATAATCTTAGCTGCAAGAGACACAGAATTCAGTGCAGACTGATCTACCCTACCTCTCTTCTTCACTTCTTTCCAAGAAGGTAAGGAGGAATAATCTCCTGACCCATACATTTACCCAGCCATTGAGAAGCTCTGCTCCTCAGACTTTAGTTTTTCCAAGGTTTCTTAAATGCTTATTGTGAAATTAAATTACAAACCATATGCTTGTTTTTAATTCCACATTGCCATACAAAGTTACAGAATCTGAATTTCTCCCTCTAGCTTTTTATTATAGGGTTATTAAGAATTCAACAAAGAAAGTTGGACTTGTTTGTAGGTAGAAGCAGCAGATATGCAATACATCTGTTACAAGAAAAAAACAAAACAAAACAAAAACTCAGCACAACCAAACAGCTTTCACAACTGCGTTCAGTAAAAACGGGAATGCAAAGTCAGTTCTGTATATAACACAGAACTCACATCTTGCATTGGTAAGATGAAGTCAGTGTTCACTGGATCTTAAACCATCTGCTAATTGCTTTTTCTTCCTTTGACTTTTGCTTCAGGTGAGAAGTATTTTTCAGCAAGGAATTATTTACTCCTGGCCACCGTACCTGCATCCTAAAATAACGGGCACAGCCTTTAAATTTAAAACCACATTTTACTTGGCATTATTAAATTTCCTAACCCTCAGGAGTTTCTGTCCTTTCAATGTGCTTTATTGTTATTTCCTGTTCCTCCTGATGTCTCACTAGAAGACACTGATGTTTCTAAGTGGCGCACTACCTTCTTTTTTCTGAAGGATCTGCCTTCCTTACCCTCACTTCTTACTCAGAGGCAAAAGTTGAGTGGCATTAATGAGTACAGAGATGCAAGTAATTTAAGCATAAAAATAAGAAGTTTCTTCTCCATTTCCTCCTCACCTACTGTTCCACTAAAAAAACCACATTTTAGACTTTTACTGCAGGCAGCACTAGTAGCCTAACTCATAAACATTGTTTTTTTACAAGGGAGTGGGTTCAATTTACCACACATTTGGGCTGGTTTATCCCTATTAGGTCTCCATGTGGCACAGCAGCCTGTAAGAGCCGTAAGCCACAGTCAGCTCCAGTAACCTTCAAGTCAAGCTTTCTTTCTTCCCCCAAATATTAAGAAAAGCTGACATTACATGATTTAACACTGTCTATGCAGAACACAGGGCGATAGATAAAGCTGAAGAAAGCATCCCTGGAAAGAAAAATAAAGAAATAAAAACATCCAAAGAAAGAAAAGCAACCTCTGAAGTAAGCGAAGACAGCAGCAGCCTCAGGTAGCTGGAAAAAGGTGATCTGAATAAAAAACCTGTGAAAGTTTAAAAAAAGCTGGCATATTTCAGAGGAACGTGCAAGTTTCCATCTCTCAGCGTGAGACCCTCAGGATGTCTGGCCAGTGGATTGAAAAAGGTCCTATTAATAGGAATTACGTACCACTGCTTAACTTTGCATAGGTTGAACAGCTCTGCTCGCCAGCAGAGTTTGTCTATGAGAAGACAGGCTGTCTTTATCCTGGTTGCTGATTGCTCAACTACCTATTACTCAGATTTATCACTTCGACAAGCTAGTTATGGAAAGAAAGCCCCAAGGTAAAGGTTTTTTGGGAGTGAGTTTCAGTTAAAGCAGTTCACCCCTTTCTGAGATTACTGGGGGGGGGAGGATGATAAAAAGAAAAATAAAAGTGTTCTATGGCAGTTGCTGGTCACTGTTTAAAAAAAACAAACAACTGTATTTGCTAGAGACCTCATCAGTCTCCATGCCTTCGAGCAAGGATTTGAAATGGAAACTCCTCTATGATAGCAAAGTGCACTACAGAAACACAGCCAAGTTACAAACCTAAAAACCTCCAAAACAAACAAACAAACAAACAAACAAGGATACCCAAAAACTTCACATACAGTTCCTTCTGTGTATGTAAACAGGAACCCATTAGTGCTCAGCAGCCAAGACATCTGGAAGATTGGGTATGCACTGAACATATTGTACTCAGGGCTGCACAAGCTGGCAATGCCTTTCCTTTCAAGCGATCCTTCCCCTTGTCATGGTATGCCGAGGTACCCCTTAGATATAAAACTTATTCTGTTTACTCTGTTCTCAATACTTCTGCTATAATGATGCACGCAGGTGAGGGAAGAAGCACGTCGCACAAAATAGAAGGGATATGGTGAGACACGTGAAGTAGAGGAATGCAGAATCCAGAAAGGAAGAGAAATGAAAACAAAAAAGGAAATAGGAGGAGAAATACATATGGAGGGAGGGCATAGGGACATAAAGGTATAGTAGTTGCTAAGGATGCACATACAGTGCAAAGCATGGGGAAAAAACCAAACCAAAGCAAACCAACACCAAAACAACCCTGTACTCCTCTGACTCAAAGAATCATTGCTGGTTGAACTCCAGTACCAAATCTCCACACCTGCCTCTGAAATCAACTAGCAAAATGGAAATTATCAACCTCTGCTGCTTGTACCATGAAGTACCTCACCTTATTACCATCACCAGTTAATTCTGCAGAGTCAAATAACAAAAATTCATTGTGACCTTAAGAACTTTCAAAAACCTTGTGCCAATGACCCTGGCCATACAACAGGTATTAATTTTCTTGTGATGTCTCTAGAATGTTTGCCCCACTGGCTACAGAAACCAGAAGATGTGTACCTATGGGAGCTCTCTAGTATGGCAGGCCTCTGCTTACCCACCACAGAGAACACAGCATCTTCCACTCCCATCCCTTGGCTGCGAATGCAGCAATAAAGACAGGAGCACAACGTGGAAGCAGGAATCCAGGACTTGGGTGACAGCAAACCAATGAAGAAAATAAGTGCAAATAAAAGGTCACAGCAATTTAGAAAGACAGACAGACAGGCAGACAGACAGGCAGAAAGAAAGAGGGTAAAAAAAAAAAAAAGTAATTCCTAGCTTGCTCAGTCTTTGCTGTCAAGAACCAGTCCACTCAGAGGACAGAAAAAACTCGAGAACATAATGGCTAATAGGGGGTGCTCAGGGCAGGCAGGGAAGAACCCTAAGCACGGCTTGGGATCAGGGCTGTTTGGCAAACACCTGTGAGCCACATTTACTGGAGAAAAAGTTCTCTGTGAAATTAAGAAGTTTCATAACTTTTTAATGAAAATAACAAATTAAAGACAACCTTCGGACTTAATATTTATACCATCAGTTTGCAACCACAGGTTTAGATGGAAGCATTATTTCTGGTATTGTCACAAGCAAGGAAGCAGTCGGGGGAGCTCTGATCTTCTGGATCACCCCCAAGGGAAGTCTACGTCCCTTTTGTTACAATTTATGAGGTGTAAGCTCCAAAAATAGGCATTAAGTCAGCTACTCGAGACCACAGTCTGGTTACCTACCACTCCCATGTGTGCTTTAGTGTTTGAGAGAAGCAAGCAAAATGAATACTATCAGTTTTTGGTCTCAGTTCCTTATGCCTCAGTGCACTTTGTGTAAAATTAAAATAGCAACATTACCAAATCAAAACAGGCATGTCATTAAATTCCTGCTTCTAAAGTATCTATACCAAATAATGACACTACAGGCAAGAGGGGGAAAAAAAGAGTACAAGGTCTAGAAGGTGTGTTTCACAGGGCTTCACTGTACAGCCTGGATCAAGTCAGAGGTACTGAACAGAATACAAAGGTGACTGAGTAATTAAGACCACCAACCTCTCTCACCTCACGCCAAATCAGAATAAATGGCACTGGTAAATGGCAATAATGGCACCTAATTCAAATCTTCCCTGGCTTGTGGGCACCTATGGTGTTGACAAACTAGTGACTGTTTTCTTCTACTGAAGTGTGCAAGTATTAGCCAACGACTGCACAGAAAACCTCGACACGCAGTCAAGAGAGCTACAAAAAGTTCAAACTGCTCTAAAACAAGACATGACCACATACAACAAAAAACATCACAAGACAATTCTGGATGTAAAAATACACACCTACATAAATCTTCATTAGAAGTGTTTAAGGTATGTTCTGTAACTGGACAGAACAGGGTTTTATAAAACAAACCTAAACAGCAGTGCAAGTTTTAACAGTGGGCTTCAGAGATGGGTTATGTGAAGACCGAGATCATTAGCAAGGCTGAAATGCTTTTCTTATTTTTTCCTTATAGAGTACCCAAAGCACTCTTAAAGTTTCATCTGCTGACTGCACAACAGATTAAAATAGCAACCCAAAATGGATCTAAGAAAAATTGCTAGTATATCAACCTACTAACAACAACAACAAAGTTGAAAAAAGTATGAGTTTTTCCCACTCCCAACTTGCCCCTCTTTTTCCTCCCTACTTTTTCTGGGAGAGATACT